GTTAGTGCTAAAAGATTAAGAAATTGCTGGCGTAAATTTTTCTCGTTTATTTATTTATTTTTTATTCCATTTGACGGTTTCCAAAACAGTCGTAAATAAAATGCACCATAATCTCCTTTTAATTACGAAACTTCCCGAATTAACCTTTCTACTTCAAGGTTTTAACAATTTTAGAGCGTTGTGCGGTTGTTAAACAATGCCCGACTTTTAACTAAAGCAAAACGTTTTTGGTCTGACAGTTAAGTTTGACAAATGTCAAAATTCTGTTAAAATCAAAGCTCAACACGCTTAAACTGACATTATTTAATATTGTGCTTTGTATTTTCTTGCGAAAAAAACCTTCAAGTTTTACTGCCCTCCCAATAAGGGCTTCCTTTAGTCTAACTTTTGTTTTGAGAATTTCATAATGAGCTTAAAAAATTTACTTTCATAAGAGATGCCATCATTAAATGTCAAACTTTGTAGAAAATTATACGAATGAGTGCATGCTTCAAAACTTACATGAATTGCGTACTTTTGAAGTCTTAGAATTTCAGCAACTTTTTTTTTTCCAATTCAAGCGAAGCAGTGTGCAGTAAAAACTTACCTATGCCTTGCAGAGCTCCTGCGAGTTAGGCATATTTCACAGACTAGTCTTTAAAGTACAAACTATTCGGAATAGAAGATATAAATTGCATGTCACACCACAGTATATATGTATAACCAATACTTGAACACTTAAATGCAGGCAATTGAATTTCAATAATCAATGGCAAGTGAAGGCAAAAATCGCCCACACATACTCTCACATAAATGTTAGTTTCACTTATTCCCAATAATATGTCACGTTTAATGTCTGTCTGTAGGTATGTTTTGTATACAAAGCGCTATTCATTTGTGTCGCATAGAATGTTGATGATAGTATTTATGGCTTGCAAGCAGTGCATTTGCACCCTGCAGATATATGTATGTATGTATGTATGTATATGAATCACCTGGCTGTGTGGCTTTGGCATGTCGTACAAATTGCTTGACAGCAAGACATTACAAGTGTGGCTAAGTATCATCGCTTATATACTCATAACATACATACATATACATATACATATACATATATGTATAGGTGTCCTCTGTACTCAACCATATTTGCTCAGTTGAGTGCAAAGATACGTGGAAAAGGAGTGTCCTGAGCAACTGGTTACATACATATGACAACTAAAACAGCAAACAGAAATATATGCAACAGCTTGAGTTCTGTTAAGGTCTTTCAGTGGTTTGTTTGTTTGTATGTTTATATGTCTATGTGCGTAGTAATGGTATACCATTTATATTAGCATTGATACATTAATAGCTGTAATAATGTGCTGGCTGTTAAAAAATCTATAACCGTACGAAAGTGTGCATATATACTATATAAATACATATAGAATATGTGCGAAAATGAGCAGTTGTGGTGGTGTGGTGTAGATGCAGGCGGTGGTTACCACACGTTAAAGTCAAACATGTCACCGCAGCACACATTTTATATTCTCAGGCGTACCAAAGTCCCATAGACACCGGCCAGCATAGTTTGCTTTTGTGCGAGTGCTGTGCTGAAAAACGCCCAACAATTTGTCCTTGCAAGCGTCACAAGCGTCAAAGAATTGGAAATTGCATATAATACAGGTACTTGCACAAACGGCTGCATATATGTATATGTAAGTATGTTTGCTATAAAATGTGGGCACCAGCTTGGCGTACATGGAAATGTGTTGTATAAAATATGAAATATGCCCTCTGGCATTATACAGGGTGTTAGGAAAATTTGAAAATAAACATTTATGCCAAATATTTTTCTATTGCCTTAAACGGAATCTCTTTGGAAGTTACATAGTTTTTAAAAATTTTTAGATATATTTACTAAGTTGCCATCACTATGTTATGATCAACTAAAAACTAGAAAATGAAACTTTAGGTATCATGTTTGTGGTGGCGTATGAGTAACCACATTGCCTACAATAAATGGCACTAATTCATTTATTTTCAGTGGAAAAATTCTACAATACTACAAAAAAAAAGGAAAAATTAATTATATAAGCAAAAATAATTGACTGATTTTAATCACTGAATTGAGCCTGCTCAAATTAACTTTTTCGACACTTACAATTGTCTTGTCTACGAATTTTACCATTTATGCGCCTAAAAGTTGGCTAATAAAAGTGATTACAAATGTGTTTTGAATATTCGAAAGCAGCAATTTCTTTAAATATAATTTTACTTAAATATTAATTATTTTTAAACTTATTTTCATTGCTTTATTTAATTTAATATTTATTTTACTTTATTCTATAATATAAATTTTTCCATCAATTGAGAGGCCTACAATTTATTCGAAGTAGCCGCTTTTTGTGAGTAGCGTTGATTTTCATGTCAGAAATACACTCAGATCGTTTGACATTCCTTATGGGAATTAGAAAAATTAATTTTCTAAGATTCTGAAAAAACGTTGGACTTTGGTTTTTCAAATCGTAGTACGCACTGCTGATCATTCGGCTACTTTATTCCAATCAATTCTTTTTTTTTCTTTTATTACATTTAGTGGCGTTTTTTTTGGGTGTCTGTAAAAAATTTCAGCTCTCTTTAAGCACGTTTCATTTTCTCAACTGCCTATTTTAGTATGTGGCTGTTAAATTTAACGGGCGGTCAAAGCACTGGTTTATATTTTTTCGACAGCGAGACCTGTTCTGTTTATCAACAGTAATTAGCTGATTTACAAATTTACCTATTTTCTTTAACACTAAATTATATATGACTAAGGGTTTGAGGGCTAAATTGCTAAGGGAAATTTACAAAAAATTTACTTTAGTTACGTTAAGGATACCTGATTTACGTAGTTCCTTTCTTCTTCTTTGCAGCAGTGCTAACTTTTATCTAATATTAAAAGAAAACGAATTTTACATTTTTAATTTGTTTCTTATTTATTTTTATTTCATATTTTATTTTAGTTCGATTTCCTTATTTATTAAGTTTTTCTCCCTGTCTTTTATTTTATCTCATTTTTATCTAATGTCTTATTATTAACTTTCATTTTATTTCATTTTATTTTCAAGATTTTAATTTTTATATTTTTTTAATTTTTATTTTATGTTTTTTTCATATTCCATTTTTATTGTTTTATTTGTATTTTTAATTTTCTATAATATTCTCTTTTACATTTAATTTTTTGTTTTTAATTGTTTCTTATTTTTTATTCTTAGTTTGTTTATTCCCTTACTTTTTAATTTTTATTCTTATTTTTATTTTTTATTATTTTATTTTTATTATCTTTTGTTTTATTTCCTTTTATTTTAGCTTTAATTTTTTATTCAATTCACATCTCATCATTTTTATTCTTTTATAATTATTTTTTATCATATGTTTTGTTTTTAATTTTTTTATTTTATTTTTAATTTTTTGTTATTCAATTAATTTTCTGTTCAGTTTTTTTTTAGTTTTTTTTTTTCATTTTTAATTTAATTTAGTTTTTATTGACTTTTCTCTTTCTTTTATTTTGATTTATATTTTTATTTTTCTCTTATATTATATTTATTTTTCATTTATTTAATTTAAATTTTTTATCTATTCTATTTAATTTTTTATTTTTTTTATTTAAATTGATTTTTTATTTTATTTAAATTTTTTATTTATTTTATTTCAATTAATTTTTTTTTTAATTTAAATTTTTTATTTATTTTATTTTAATTTATTTTTTATTTTATTTAAATTTTATATTTATTTTATATTATTATATTTTTTATATTTCTCCTCACATATTTCATCTTTTTTTGAAAATGGTTTTTTTTTTTATTTTTTATCTATTTCATTTTTTTATTCCCAATTTTAATTTATATATATTTTATGCTTAAAATTCACTTTATTTCACTAGAATAAATTAGTGGAAGTAGGCGGGCCTATGCCAATATTTACTTGCTACAAATGGAATTTAATTCACATGTGATTTTTCTTACATCCAGGTACCCTTCATTCGCTATAAATTACTGCAGAGCTAAGTGTATATTAAGCAATACATACATACATATGAGTACATCTGTATATTGCATTTGTTTACATTGTATATACATATTTACTAGCGCTGGTGGCGCTTATATTCTTGTAAATTCGCCCACTTAAAAAAAATTAATGTGCCCATATAAATGTACATATATAAGTATGCCTATAGACACATGCATTACATCTAACGAGATGTGTGTACCTACAAATATACATATGTCTCGTTTATAAAAAGCAACTTATGTATGTACAACTTTCCTGCCTTGGACACTTTCCAAATGGGAAATAACAACATGAACACGAATTCATTTAACAGAATTCGCAATTCGCATTAGACGAACTGTTGAATGGATGCCTGAATGAATGAATGAATGACTGAGCAAAAAAAAAAATTAATAATTTTACATACAAATCACTTGTTTGCTGTAACATTGACATGACTTGAGGGAAAAAGTTCTTTCTTCTTATTTTTTTATTTAACTACGTAATTGCAAAAATGATTCTACGCACGTTTTATATATTCTTTTCTTTTTTGCTGCGTATAAAAAATCGCACGATCTTATACATATTTCAAATTTCACTACTTATTTGTAGATTTGTGTGAAGATTTACGAAAAATATGATGGGTAAAAGCTTTGCAGAAAAATTTGGTGATTTTTCCCATTTATCACGTGTTTATAGTAGACGACGTGTGAAATGTATGAAAACAAAAACATGCATACACGTATATACATGCATACATACATAAATATTAATTTGTACATACGTTGTAGAGAAATAATGGCAGCCAGGCAGAGAGACTGGCAAGCATTTTAATCAATTGCCTTGTAAACACTCAAAATTTTCCTATCATACTTAAGAAAACAATCTTACATACTCGTATATAAATTTACAGTGGGAGAATAGTGAGTTGCAGGGAAATAAATTACAATGCTTTCTTGAAAGACATTTTTTTCCTCATGGATTTACTTAGTTTTACTTATATTTGGCAGGCAACTTGAAAATATTGAGCTTGAGAAACCATGAAAATTGGCAACGTGGCTAACGAAAATAAAGTAGACAGTGAGTTGGCAATTTAAAAAGGTTATCTAGAAAATTAGAAAAGCAAAATTAAAGTCGATGTTTGTGTGATAGCTTTTCCATACTCAAGTAGTACTGAATCGGTGAAGTTTAAATGCCTACAGGCAAGCATTCCGTTCTATATGTCGAGCATATGCAGCAATAGATGGCGCTGGTGGCAACACATTTCTAAAACTCTTATTAACAGTACTACATATTTCTTTAAAATTCAAAAGACTTTTCTTTTTAGTCATATAAAATATGAATAATTAATTTGCAAATTAAATCGACATCTTGGCGCACCATTGGGTTCGATATGGAAGGATCTTTCGAAAATCGAGTAAAATAATACGTATCCTAAATTATTGATCGTAGAGAAGTGAAACTTGAACGTTGGGTTCGATATGGAAGGGTCTTTCGAAAATAGATCCTCAATAGTAGAAAAACGAGAGCAAAGCTTGTATGTATGGAACCGATTTTTATCAAATTTTGTAATTCGCCAGAGAAGTGGACGATGAACATGATGATATCTATTTGCTTAGGTAAGCATGAAAAAAACTTATGTTTAATAAAATAAATTATATAAAATCCTAATTGAAAATTTGATTAAAACCAATTTTAAATTAGAAGCTAATTTACATGCGGTTCAAAACTAGTATACATATAATTTGCGCCATATAACCGCAGACGCGAGAGCTCATCCTCCAAATTCTGTTGTGGGTCTTGGTATTTTTCCAACAATGTTAGGTCGTTAAACGGTTCATGAGTAAGAAATTATTTTTATCATTTGTGTGTGCGAAATAATCCACATACTAATTATTATCTGTCATATTGTTGCTAATTTCTACGAAGAAATCAGAAAAAAATGTTCATAAGTCAAACCACTTTGATAACCAGTCAATAAACAACAGAGCTGACATTCTATAGCCCTGACTATCCACGATCAGATCGGCATTTCTTCGCTTCATTTAAAAACATTTTGATGGCTAAAATATCAAAAGAATATTCAAAACATGGTAAATATAACATTGATTATTGATTACATACCTCCATATATTCGATATAAAACCAGATTAGTAATTATTCATATATTAACGAATTTCTCTAAAATAATTTGTTTATACTTGCTTACGAACGAAGAATAAATTCTGAGCAATTTTATTCCATTGCCAAGTAAAAGAATTAAAACGTTTTTACTGCCAAATATCAATATAAACAAATCAACTCATATCAAACAAATGAAATAAATACCTTAATGCTAATTTACGAATTTTGCCTACTCAAAACGAAATTCCACCTGATTTGTTAAGCTTTTCACTTGATTTTGTACAAATAATAAAGAAAGTTTGTGTTATTCGTATTTAATTGCGGCAGGTGGTACGCACAATTACGAATTGTGGGCAAAGGAAATGATGCTAGAGAAAATCATTAGCTTGCGGAGGAATGAAGTGGGCGTACAACGACGGTGGTGATGATGATGATGATGATGATGATGATGATGATGATGAAGGAGATGGGAAGTACCACAAAAAAATATAGTATTTGTGTTGAAGGCGTTTTTTCGGATTAATAATATTTTCATATGAAAAAAAGGTTAAAAATAAATGATATTTATTTCAGCATTTGATATAAGAAATGTACTATGTATTAGGTCAAGTAAAAAGTTCGTTCGGTTTTTTTTTAATGATTTTTCAAAATATGATATCTTTGTGTACATTTGTCCGATTTAAGTCAAATATGCGCCAATTTCATTATACCTTTTCGTAGAAGGCTGTGTCCCTATTGGCAAAAAACTGGGAGAGCCAATTTTCACATGCCTCTCTTGAGGCCATCTTCTCACCATTAAGCGCATTCGCCATGGACAGGAAAAGATGGTAATCACTTGGTGCCAGGTGCGGACTATAAGGTGGGTGCATTGGGACCTCCCATCCGAGCTCCTGGAGCTTCTGGTGCGTCACCAAAGACGTGTGTGGCCTGGCGTTGTCCTGATGGGAAAAATTTCGGCCTCTGTTGATCAAAGATGGCTTCTTCTGGATGAGTGCTGCCTTCCTTGCCAATCCCACCAAATACACAGCAAAACTTTCCTGGCCGTCAATCCGGTCTTGGCCACCGTTTGGGCCGCTTCCCCGAACTTTGACCACGACCGTTTGCGCTCGCTGTTGTCGTAAGTGACCCATTTTTCATCGCCAGTCACAATCCGCTTCAGAAACGCGCCGATTTTGTTGCGATTCAGCAGCGATTCGCAGATCCCATCATGTTTTTTTGCCTTAGTCGTGTGGTACCCAAACATCGAGCTTCTTTTTGAATCCAATGTTATGCAAATAGTTCCAATCGGTTTTAGCGCCGTATAGTCTGACATGATGCGACACGTAACACTAGTACGATGGACAATAACGCCACCTATTAGATAAAAACCGAACGAACTTTTTACTTGACCAATATATAAAATATTCACAAGAGTAAATACCAGAAGGCTGCCCGCCAGCTGTCTAGGAGTAAAAGGGTGTTTCTTTTTTAATGTGAGGTAATACTTTAATACTGATGTTACTTGATTTGGTTTGCCGTTTCTTAGTGAATAGATTTACTCCGGAATAACGTTTGCGAATCGTGCAAATTAATTTCTTAAATAATGGCGTGTGCTGCGTCCAATATTTGGTCGACATAATCCCCCAGCAGAGCTGGTAATTCGAGCAACCATGAATCGGTTTCGAATCAAAAACGCCGCCGTTGCTATGGAGCAGAGTATCGAAGATTACCCGAACGAGTCCATCCGCCATCGTGCGCAACCTTCGGAGCTGTGTCAAGAAATGAAGACGAACGAAGCGCGTCGAAGTTCGGTGAATGACCCAAAGCGAGATGGGCACCGGTACCAATTGTCACAAGAATGAGTACGATAAAAAACAAAATTTTCGCATTTGACGTGATAATAATCCAAAAGCCATTGTTGAGACACCGTTACATCGTCAAGAAGTCACTATTTGGTGTGCTCTATAGACAGAGGAGCTCATTCGTTCATATTTCTTTAAAGTAGAAGCCGACTATAAGGTTACAGTCAATGGAGAACGGCTATAGAGCCATGGTTAATGACTTTTACGTACCCGAATCACAGGGGTTGTTGATGTGGAAGATCTTTGGTTTGTTTTGTTATTAATGGATTTTTATGGGCTTAACAATAACGGCAAGCCTTGATCTTTAAAATGAAGTGTATAATTCTTGGCCATAAAATTCAATTATATTATTTTTATTACTTATGGAAAACCAGATATATAAGCAAAAAACACCCTTTATATTAATAATTTATTAAATAAAAATTTTTAAAAATGGCAAACAGCTGGCGATCAATTCATAGGCACAGTATAAAGAATTCGGCGCATAATGTGTAAAAAATAATAGAATATATACATATTTTTCCTACATAACTACATAGATACCTATTTATGCAAACATATTTGCATTGAGAAAAGAATTAGTATGCGTTAGAAACTTTTCATAAAAAAAGTTATAAACAAGTATATAACTAAAAAAAAAAAAAAAAAAAATAAATTTTAAACAAAAATACAAAATTAAATTTTTATAATTTGTTTCGAACCATAAATTTAATAAAGATTATAGTGTATACACGTACGAAATAGAAATATGAAATACACAATTTTGAATATTTTTTTTTATGAATAATTTTCCGACAAACTTAAAGCGTGAAAAAATTCATTTCGCACTGTATGCACAAGTATTTTTCGCTTTTTCGCTTAATGATGATAATTGCAAAAAAAAAAAGAAAAAAAAAGAGCACACAAGAAAAGCACAACAAAAAGAGAATGTCTTTGAATGGAATACCGCAATTCTGAGTAATTTCCTTTTGTCGAATGCTTGGTAAATAGTTGAAGTGGAATGAAGGAGAGCCAGGCCACAATGGAAGCTCATTTAAAATGTGAAAAACGTTTCGGGTGTTACTGAGAATTGCACGTGGTGGAAACTAACTGAAGGACTATGCTGCTGGATAAACTCTGATTAATTAAGCGGCAATTTGCTTTTAATGAGGTTTTAGTTGAGCAACAAAAATATGTATTTAATTAGAGTTCTGTTATCATTGACGCTGGTTGAGGATAAAAATAAAATGTGAAAGACTAAATTTACGTTTAAAATATATTAAAAACTATGCAATAAATAAATGAGAGATCGCTACAACATAAGTGGGAAAAATTCTCAACACTCCGAGATGTTGTTCAATGCCACTGATCACTATACAGCCTTGGCCAAAAGTATTAGGCACTCCACTAAAACACAAGTAATCTAAAGCATGGCTATCGAAGTTACTACTTCTTTTTGGGTGCTTAACTGTTGCTTAAACGAATAAAATGTGTATTGTTAAAAGTCATAGCACTCTGGATAAGCTAAACCTAAAAATTATCATTTTTAAAAAATTCATAAAATATTTTCGCATCTGATGGTGTCGGCGAAATGTTCGTTTGCGAGGATCGCATGGACAGTCAAAAGTACATACGTAAATGTATTAGAAACTGTTCTTCTGCTTTCGTTAGCGCGCATTTTCGGAGATAATAATTTATACGGGGTTCAATTTCAGCAAGACAATGCTCCTTGTCACAAATCAGCGACTACGATGCGTATGTTTAGAGATAAAAGCTTTATTTTGTTAGACTGGCCCGCATGGTCTCCAGATCTTAATCCCATTGAGTACATGTGGGCTATTTTAAAAAGCAAGATTAAGGAACACAGTATAACACCAAAAACTGCCTTAAATAATGCCTTAATTAACGAGTGGGACGCTATAAGTGCGGTCGAATGTGCAAAGCTTTTACGCAGTATGCCTAAGAGAATCGCTGCTGTTATTAAATCGAAGCTATAGATTCAGATCCACAAGTAAGTAGGAGGACTGTTCACATTTCCAACCAAGGGAATCAGACTTGGATCGGTTCTTTATGTTCCTTATAAGCTAAGATGAGTTTTAGTTCAAAAACTAATGAAAGAACAAAGGACTGACCTAAAATATATTACAGATCTTCGGTCAATTGCACTCGAAAAAGGCATTTGAAGATACCAAATGGAAGGAAGTAATAACGGGTTAGAGAATCTTTGCAGTTATAAAAAACATGTAAAAAGTTATTCAACGTAAAATCAGCAGCAATAACGTGGAGAAGAGTGGTAAATGAGAACCTATAAAAATTTTTTGCTCGAAAAAATTTCTAAAATTTTTTTTTAAATAATTGGGAGATTGAATAAGTAATTAGTTTAGAGCTCTTGAGCTCATCGGTAATGAGACTTAGTACTTTTTAGTACTTTTATGACGTGGCAGCCTTTTGGGCTCTTTAATAGCAGTAAGAACATCAAAGGTCATTAGGCATAATGTAAACTTAGTATGAAATTCAATATATGCTTTGTGACTTCCAAAGATAATACCTAAAAATTCTGTAAAAAAACATTTAGACACTTAGGAAAAAATTACTATTAAAATTTCTAAAAAAAAAATTAAGATTATTGCGAATAAATTAAACACCAAGAAGACAAACCTTAAAAATATTACTCGACTGACGAAACAAACGAAACGAGCCAGGCGAATCAATGGTATACTGTCGCGTCAAACCACTATTGACTACGCTGGTTTGCCGAAACCAAGGTAATGAGATTTTTCGACGACTTTTTTGCTGTTTAATAGCTGGTGCCGAAAGTGAATTGGAGACGCCAGCTGATGAGACATTATTGGCGATGCTGTTGGTGGCGTTGGGTGTAAAATTAAAAGGTGAATTTGTGGTGGGTGAACAACTGTAGTGACCAGTGGGTGCAGAAGATGGTGAACGTCTATCACCGCCACTTATGGGTAGCCCATCAGCGTTGGGAGTTTCGGCGCATATAGAAGGACTTGGCGAGGGATCAGCGGTGGCATAGGGCGCCATTGGCTCGACAGTATCAGTGATACCGATACCGATACCGCCGCCACCGCCACAATCAGTATCTGGCGTTAGTTGTGCATCATTGGTTGTAGCTGGTGATTTGGTATTGTTGATATCAGCAATTTTTTGTTTGCTTGTCGAAGTTGGTTTCTTACTGCTGCCGCTGTCGTTGCCGCCGGGTGATGAGTTGTTGCCATCCGAATGATCGACACTGCTGATGCGTTCAATAATTAATTTTTTGACGGTTTTCATTGTAGATTTGGATTTTTTTTAAAGGGTTTAATTTTTATTTTTTAATTATTTTGATTATATTTCTTTAAACTTTTTTTAATTAATTTTTTTTTTCAATTTTTTATATTTTTCTTTTTTGATTTTATTTTATATTCTCTTAATTTTCTGTTTTATTTTTCTGATTTTGTGCCTTTTTTAAGATATTTGATTTGTGTATATTAATTTAGTGGTCTTTCTAGACGCTTTGTAAAATGTTAAATATTTTTTTATTTATAAAATAGTTAAAATAAAGCTACCGTTGATGAGTTTTTTTTGTATTTTTTCTCTTTGGCTTCGATTTACATTCAATTTGTGATTTTCAATAATATATTTGGTATTCTCTTCTGCTGGTATTTATTGAGATAAAATGCTTTTATTTTTATTTTTATTTTTTTGTTGTTTAAAGGTATCGCACATTCTTTTCCGTACTTTTTTTGTTTATTTAAAACAGACTTGCACTTTTTAATTTTTTGTTGCGTTTTATTTTGAATTTATTTTATTTTCTTTGGTTT